TGTGTGTGTGTGATGGGGGAAGAAAGAGAGGGAGAGGGAGGGAGGCAGGCAGGCAGCACATGGTCAGCTAGCCACACTTTCCCTATGGCCATCAGGAAGTGTTTTCAATTGTGGTATCTCTCAGGAGCCTCTCTGACCTACAGAGACAAGCCTCAAGGGCACTCTCTAAGAGGCAGGTGCCTCCCCCAGGTCACTTCCTTGGGCTTTGGGGAGGAGAGCTTTCTGGGTCTGTCCAGAGCAGGGGCAAGGATTGATGGCGCAAGCTACATGCTCCTAGGTTCCTGGCTCCCGGGGTCCTTGGATTCCTTTCTCTACATCATGTCGAGGAGTTCATGGGTCACCAGTAACTCTAGTTTTCAGTTAACCAATTGAGTTAGGGTTAGGGTTAGGCAGCACTACTCCCAGCTACTCAAGCTATGCACAAAGCCAGAATCTCTGATGGACACACCTATGCCAGAAATCTTTAGCTTAGGCTTCATATAATGAAAACCCAACATAGTAGTGCCTTGTATGAGATTTTTCTTTATTTTCTCTCACATAAAAGAGAGAAGGCAGCATTTCTGGAGGCAGGCTTCCTCTCCTTCAATACCATTGTCTACAACTGCCACCCTCGAGGTTACCTCATGGCCCATGATGGCTGCAGAGGTTCCAGCCATCTCTTCTGCCTTTGGGGCAGTAGTAAATGTAGCAGAGAAGGATAAAGGGGTTTCCCTGGATGTCTATCCCCTGACACTGGGCACTTCCTTAGAGGTTGCAGATAGGGCCCCTCACTTGCACCCCCCCCCCGGTCCTGCCCCACACAGGATCAAACTGTACATTTAGCTTTCCGTTTCCTCAGCTCCGCACCTGTGTAAGATAAGAGATCCATAAGCCCAGAAGTGGAAAGTTCATGTTTCAATCCCAGGCTTGGGCTGAGAATTTAGGGACTTGAACTTGATATTGTCCTTTTTTAATCTCTGCAGTCCCATTAGAAGCAGCTGTCCCTGATTCTTCAAAGTTCACACATTCTTTCTTCCTCATACCACTCCATGTGCAGCAGCCCAGCTCCTGAGTTTTGGGTCCGGTGGGTGCATCGCTCCAGATGACCACGGCAATAACCAAACCTGCTGGTTCACCACTGTGTGTAGTGCCAGCGTCCCTGGATGCCAGTGTGGTTTTTCAAAACAATTTCATTGGTGTGTAAGAAACACACACGTGTGCACAGGTAGGAAGTGCAGAACTCAGTTCATGTCTATGTTACACCCATGTAACCACCTGTAGATGGAGACACCAGACATCTCCCTCACCTCAGAAGGCTCCCTCCACCCCGCAACCACTGTGTTGCCTTCTGTTCTACTTACAATGTGGTCTTTGCTCTCTTGAACTTCATGTAAACAAAATCACATGGGACATGATCTTCAGTGTCAGCCTTTCTTCAGACATGCCTATGAGACTCAGGCATGGAAACAAATTCCATGACGTGACTGCACCACAGTCTAGGAACCTGCTGTGCAGGTGATGAGTATCTGGGTTGGTTCCACAGGTTTGGGTATCTCGAATAAAACGTCTGTGAACGTTTCATTCCAACAAGTATTCATTTAATAACTAGTAAGTGATGGCTGGAAACTCAGCAGCCATCATGGGCCATGAGGTAACCTCGAGGGTGGCAGTTGTAAGATAATTGTATTGAAGGAGAAGCCTGCCTCCAGAAATGCTGCCTTCTCTCCTTTATGTCAGAGGAAGTAAAGAAGGAGTTAAGTGAGAAGCTTCTACATGGGTTTGAGTTTTCCAGAGTTGCTGGGTCACTGGAGTGACTCAGATTATCTAAGATAGTGGTTCTCAACCTTCCTAATGCTGCAACCCTTTAATACAGTTCCTCGTGTTGTGCTGACCCCAACCATAAAATTATTTTCGTTGCTACTTCATAACTGTATTGCTACTATTATGAGTCGTAATATAAATATCAGATATTAGGCGACCCCTGTGAAAGGGTCACAACAGGTTGAGAACCGCTGATCTATGGAGACCGTGTTTCTATTGTTGTAAACTACATGGCACACAGCACAGAATTTACCATT